CCTCAAATTATGATTTGTGACTAATTTTTGTGTTTTTGCTAATTACATAAATGCGACTGGAAAAGGTCTAGCATCCTCTATAATGCTCTACTTTCCTTATCATAGAAGTGGTGTAGATTTGATTGACATCTTAATGGATCATGACAATTATTGTCACATAAACTGCTGAAAAGAGCCTACTTAAAAAGCTCCTAGCATCCTCCGAGCATGCTCGGAGCTTGCTCGTAAGAATAAATCTATGATCCCTAACTTTTTTAGCCTAATAAAAACAGTAAATTTCATATTTATCTGTCCATCTTAACTAATATAACATATATATGAAAAAAATATTTGCCATGACACACAATAAAATGAAATTTGCATATAAAATCAAAAGCATATTCTCTTCACACTTTACTTGATTTTTCTGTGTTTTGTTGTTTTGTTATTTTGAATTTAAATGTGATTGCAATTTGATATGTTATAGTCTGGGCTATTCTATGTCCTAAAAACTCGTTTTATTGCAAACTTTGTCACTTGCACATTTAAATTGGAAAATTTTTTAAGGTTGGACAATACACATTTATCAATCCGCAACTGTATAATGCTGTGGTATCGATATGGCTTATCATCGGATTTAAAGGAACAAATACTCCTTTTTGAACATTTGTGTTTCGTCGGGTTCGTAATGCTTATTTTGTTCTATATTGCCTTTTCTTTTAACATAAGAATGTTTTATTGAATAATATTGAACTTAACAAAAGGGTGTAACTATTCGAAATATGAAAACGCATTCTTTTACAATTGTAAGTATCTTTAAGAATGCTGTTCACCTGCATGAAAGAATTTTTTCTTATATCTAAGACCATCAGAACTGCATTGCATTTCATTTTTTTCTCTGATACACTAAGCATCAAATAAAAAAACCTTCCATAAAGTCATAGAGTTTGTCATGCAGTCCCTCATAAATGAACAAGTATATAGTCGCTTATATAGAATGGTTTGAACTTTGTAAATTTTGCTATTTTATGTAGCGCTATAGGAACTGAAGATCCCGAAAAAGTATATTCTAAAAAAATGAAACTTTGATGTTTATATATATAGAAAAACATGTAATTAGAATTCTGTTTTTTTTAATTTTGTGTGCTGTTTTTTATGTTTGTGTTTATGTTAATTTTGATTTTATGCTTGTTCAGTAAATGCAAGACACTTGGCGCATTTTTTCGGGTATGAAAGTGAGCATGCGATGCCGATGTCATGGTAATTGGAATTGCATAGCGGTTATTTTCTACTTCCTATTGGCATTATTTTACTTCTGTTTATTCTAGTTTTTACTGATTGAGACTTTAGATTTTGTAACTGTCTTTTGTATATAAAAGATCAAACCAATGGCCTCAAGATATATTTGGCATAATGAATAGACAATCTTAAGCGCAACTCCTCCTGACGGATAGACTGATATTATTGAAACTTTCTACTGTTACGGATGTGCATAAAGGAATGTTATCCCGGTCATACATGTTAAAGGGGGAATTATAAAAATTGCAGGGCGGGTGGTATCCTTTTTAGCTCACCTGGCCCGAAGGGCCAAGTGAGCTTTTCTCATCACTTGGCGTCCGTCGTCCGTCGTCCGTCGTCGTCCGGCGTCGTCCGTCGTCGGCGTAAACTTTTTACATTTTGAACTTCTTCTAGAGAACCACTGAATGGAATGAAACCAAACATGGCATGAATGTTTCTTATGAGGTGCTGACCAAGTGTTGTTACTTTGTAGCCGATCCATCGTCCAAGATGGCCGCCAGCGGTGGACTTAGTTTAACATAGGACCCTATGGGAAATACATACAAATGTCTTCTTTTAGAGAACCACTGAATGCAATGAAACCAAACATGGCATGAATGTTCCTTATGAGGTGCTGACCAAGTGTTGTTACTTTGTAGCGGATCCATCATCCAAGATGGCCGCCAGCGGTGGACTTGGTTTAACATAGGACCCTATAGGAAATACATACAAATGTCTTCTTTTAGAGAACCACTGAATGGAATGAAACCAAACATGGCATGAATGTTTCTTATGAGGTGCTGACCGAGTGTTGTTACTTTGAAGCCGATCCATAATCCAAGATGGACGCCAGCGGGGGACTTAGTTTAACATAGGACCCTATGGGAAATACATACAAATGTCTTCTTTTAGAGAACCACTGAATGGAATGAAACCAAACATGGTATGAATGTTCCTTATGAGGTGCTGACCAAGTGTTGTTACTTTGTAGCGGATCCATCATCCAAGATGGCCGCCAGCGGTGGACTTAGTTTAACATAGGACCCTATGGGAAATACATACAAATGTCTTCTTTTAGAGAACCACTGAATGGAATGAAACCAAACATGGCATGAATGTTCCTTATGAGGTGCTGACCAAGTGTTGTTACTTTGTAGCGGATCCATCATCCAAGATGGCCGCCAGCGGTGGACTTAGTTTAACATAGGACCCTATGGGAAATACATACAAATGTCTTCTTTTAGAGAACCACTGAATGGAATGAAACCAAACATGGCATGAATGTTTCTTATGAGGTGCTGACTGAGTGTTGTTACTTTGAAGCCGATCCATAATCCAAGATGGACGCCAGCGGTGGACTTAGTTTAACATAGGACCCTATGGGAAATACATACAAATGTCTTCTTTTAAAGAACCACTGAATGGAATGAAACCAAACATGGCATGCATGTTCCTTTTGAGGTGCTGACCAAGTGTTGTTACTTTGAAGCTGATCCTTCATCCATGATGGCCGCCAATTGGGGGACTTCCTTTAACATAAGACCCTATGGGAAATACATACAAATGCTTCTTCTAGAGGTGCACTGAATGGAATGAAACCAAAACATGGCATAAATGTTTCTTATGAGGTGCTGATTAAGTGTTGCTACTTTGTTGCCGATTTACTGTTCAAGATGGCCACCAGGATTTTTTATTAAATTACAGGACCAATATTAAACCAAATTTGGCCTCACTCATTATTAGGGTATCTGTTATGATTTTAATCTATTTTTACATGATTTCCAAAACCAAAGTAGAATCAGGTGAGCGACACAGGCTCTTGAGAGCCTCTAGTTTTTGAGTTCACTCACGGTTTTAATTTCTTTTGCTGTTGTCTACCATCCTTTTCCTGATGATTTTTGATTTCATCGTTGATATCTTGATATTTCTAATGAAACAATCATATCACTTTGATAGACAATGTGGGCAAGCTAAAAACTAAAATAAACTTAAAAGGAGAGTATATCCTTTTTCCTATTGTAAAGATCCTTTATCTGTGTAGCAACATTCAATTAACTAGCTCCTCACATGGAGTAGTAGCTCCTAATAGATACAGTATCTAAGAACGTATGCAGCTCCAAGTTTATACAATATTCAAAAGCTAAGGATTCTACCAGATGCCAAAATAATTTGGTTTTGGATAGCCTTTGACAGAGACGGCAACGGAGATGGTCCACAAATCAAAATCAAAATAATAATCCCAACATTTTTCTGTCGATTGTGACATCACCGAAAGCGACTTGTCATTCGCATGACGGGTGATGCATGCATGGCAGGAGATGCCTACCCTGTCGACGCACCTATATTCTTTTTTTTTGGAGTAAATGCAATTTCATCAGGTTTGTTGATAACTTTGATTTGTATCTTCCTGAATAATATATGAGATTTGAACTCCGGTTAACTATTATTGCGACAGTGTATAATTTATTACCCAATTTAACTTGGCATGAACATCACAATGGTGCAAATTTTCCAGCTGAAACTTGATTATCTCTCCAGAAAACCTTGTAATTATGAGCTCACATTCGGTATTTTCAATGGAGTTTGTGCTGTTCTATTGTTTTTTTTCTGCAAAGGTTTTTGTAGATTGTTGCTTGATTTTTCGTCGTATCTCTTTTGACCATCAGATTGTCTGTTTTTCGTCGACTAATGGTTTTTGATAGCCTCATGTTTTTCTATTAAATCCTTAAAACGTTTTATTCTTATTCTTTTTATTACCAATTTATATTCTTCATTCTCATTTTACATGAAAAAAAACCAAGTATCTATAAAAAACGTCAATATGGCGAAAACTATTGGATGCTCCCTTTGAGGAGTTATTGCCCATAAGTGACGACTTTTTACTAATATTTCTGTTTCGGCCAATTTTCGCCAAAATTTAACATGTAATAGATAGGTAGAAACTTTGAACAACCAAACTGATCAGCAATACAAGATATACAAAAATTCTCTAATATGACCGAAATCATTGGATGACTTTTTAATATGTTATTGCCCTCAAATTATGATTTGTGACTAATTTTTGTGTTTTTGCTAATTACATAAATGCCACTGGAAAAGGTCTACAAATAAGCAAACATAATTGATTTCAATTTAGGTAAACATAAATATCAAAATTTGATATTTTCAACTCTTAGGAGCACTTGTTTAACTAAAATTAGAATCAATATAAGATTTTATTATATAATAAGTAGTAATTACAAGTACTTTGTTTGTGTAATACAATCAATGGCAATTAATCGTTCTGATATTAATTTCAATCACGGTAGCACAGGCTTTATCAAAAACCGACAGAACTAAAACAACAACATATGTTTAATGTGTATAATAAAGTATACATGCTATCACTGTTTCAAGAAGACACAATGTATCAACCTTCCACCAACAGTATCCTTCGAGTAGACCTCTAGGGGTTTTATCGTTGTCTCGGGTTGATACATTTGTGATATTTGAAAATAGCAATATTATGTTCTATTTATATAATTTATTTTCTGAAAAAAAAGCCAATGTGATAGATATGATCACGTATACCATATTCTAAGATGCAACCACTCAAACAAGATTTATTGTATATGCTTGTAGTCTCAATGATGCCAGACCACTACGAAAATTGTTGTTTATGTTATCGTGAATCAGTAACGAAATACAGACTCATATAGAGTTGAATATACGGTATATACATTGCATGAGTGTAATATTTGTAGGTGAACCACAAGGTTTCATTGACGAGAATTGTGTAGTTAGTCCGAATTATTCCAAAAGATGGCATGATGTTAAGTGTGATATGAATAATTCTTACAGCGCAGCTTGTCAGCTAAAAGGTATTTTCCATTTTCAAAAACAAACATCAATTTCTTTGTTGAATTAAAGCACTTATATCGGTAAGGCCATATGAATAAAATTAATCGTACGATACAACCTCATCGAAGATACCAGCATTATTCATTTAGTACGCCAGTCGCGCTTTGTTTACATAAGACTCACCAGTGACACTCGAATCAAAACAACTTGATAAGTCATTAATACATAAAATCTTTAAAAAAAAAACAATCGGTCTAAAACACTTATTGAATACGAGTTACAATCATCAAAAGTAAGGAAAACTATGTTTTTTTGTAAACATGCGAGCCATTTTAATTGCCAATCATTAAACATAGAGTCTGGCGTAAGTTTAGACATACAATGGTTCCCAAAATTTCGAAATTGTTTTGTTTGTTTTAATCAAAATAAGAAAAAAAGTTAAATAACAAAATTATCGAACTCTAGGGAAAGTTCAAAACAGAAAGTCCGTTATCCAATGACAAAATCCAAAGCTCAAACTCGTCAAACGAATGTAAATCAACTGCCATATTGACAACAATGTGTGAGCAAAACAGACATAATAGGTAAACATGTCAAAAATTGGATTACAACATTCAACGTTGTGTTATGATCTTAATCACCATATCACGAAACAAATAACTATTTCAACAAAGAAAACCAAAATGGCATATAGACACTCTATAGACAAAGTACGTGAGCAAAAATGAAAGACAAGAATAAAAAAAAAATGATCATAGCACAATAACGCAATGGCGGAATGTATAAATACCGAGCCACGTCAAAAGTATATTACCAAAAATGGACTAAACAGTAAAGGTTAAAAATATCGTAAGTCAAATAAAAAGAACAATGTAAAACGTAATTTAGATGATAAACAGCGTCAGTATCTTAGGTGATTCGTTAAAATTGACATACTGAAATTATTAATAATGTCTCTCGTTTGAAACATCAATACAACACATACAAATAAATATTTAAAACTTTAGAAAAATAAAACACAGATCACTCCGCCAAGGCATGGGGTCTGCTTATTACTACAGGGAGAAATGATTTAAAACAATATAAATGTAAAAATAAAACATTTATAGAACAGCGTTCGCACTGCGAGTGTGTATAAAAAATATACAACATACAATTATGTACATAATAACAATAATACTGCACGTTTTGCTATCGTTTTACAATTAAATACTAGTAAACAAATTATTGCACATTCAATAGTCATTTGAAAAAATAAATATTGATTGAATGTTGCTTGCTTTACGTCAAATCGGAGTTATTTCACGAAATTCAGGAAGGCATCAAATTACAATTAATACAATAGGTAGGCTTTTTACGGTAGGTTGAACAGGATGAATGGCAGGAAATTTTATCTACCACATGAAAATGTGGGTACATTATGTTGGATAGAGGCAGAAGTTTTGCCTCGCAACACCTAGCAATCTATGGACCATGTGCAAGGGTTCTTTAAGAAAGCATAACATTTGCCATACATGAGACATGATGTTTAACGTCGCCATGTTGACTGGACTCTGACGTGGCTGCATATGTATTAAACCCACACAGCAAAAAGTACGTCCCATTTCAGCATAGGTTTTACTGCCGGACGGGAGAAGTTCCGTGACGACAATATTTCTATACCCATTGGTTTCATTTAATAAATGGTAATAGCAATACATACTCAATATTGAGGCAACAGTTATAGCCAGAGGCTGATGCTGCAAAACAGTATTTTAAATTGAGAAACAAAGACTTTAGATAATATTGTCCATGGTCTAAAATAACTTGATCGGTAGGTTGTTTGTATTCGTATTGGCACCAACTACCACTCTCTAATATCAGACTTGCTCCTGTAGTGTGTGTTATAAATCAGAGTTTACGGCCAAACTTAATAAAGATCTGTCTAAATTCGATTTTATCAAAATTTCTATTAATACTTACCGTTACCTTGATGATATTTCGGCTTTAAATAATCAAGCATTCTCATAGTATACTGCGGAACTTTACCCAAGGGAACTAACTTTAAATAATCTAATGTTGACAGCAATAATTTTCCTTTTATAGATTTGGATTTTTCAGTTTCACACGGGAAAATCAAAACAAAATTTACAACAAAACAGACGATGTTTTATTCGCTTTTGTTGATTTTCTTTGTTTGGGCGGTGATGTGTCTTTATCCTGTTCTTTAGATACGATCAACTTGAACTCATTGATCTCTGAAGAAACTTATTCTTAATGGATATCAATTTTACACCTTAGTAAGATCTTTGAATATTATCTTTATCGGTACTTACGTTGATTTTGTTTTTGATAAAGTAATACGTCATTTAATTTGCAATGCTAAACATTAATGAAACCTCATGGTCCTACATCCTATCGATGTAATGTATTGATATCTTGACTTTGCACAAGGTTATGCATTTCTCAGACTGTTTATGACTTCTTGACACTTAATCCGTTTGAAGTGTACTGATTGCTAATTTAGTCTTGAAGAGGACAGTTTATGTATTAGTGGTTATTGGCTTTGCTGCAATTGTTTGCACCTGTCCTAAGTCAGGAATCTGATGTTCAGTAGTTGTCGTTTGTTGATACGGTTCATAAGTGTTTCTCGTTACTCGTTTTTTATATAGATTAGACCGTTGGTTTTCCCGTTTGAATGGTTTTACACTAGTTATTTTTGAGGCCCTTTATAGCTTGCTGTTCGGTGTGAGCCAAGGCTCCGTGTTGAAGACCGTACTTTGACCTATAATGGTTTACTTTTATAAATTTTTACTTGAACGGAGAGTTGTCTCATTGGCACTCATACCACATCTTCTTATATCTATTTGAACTAGCTTTCAGAAACTGCGATTACTTTTAGATCGGTACTTTGAGCTTTTGTTTTTATGTTAGTTTTTTTTTTGTACTTTGTGTCAACATTAAGAGACAAGCCCTTTTCCGACCTTTTTTTTAGTTTGTTCTAATGATGTGCTATTACAACACAGTCCAAGGTTAGGGTGGATTGAGCGCTCACACACATGTTTAACCCCGCCACATTTTATAATTGGCGGTCCTAATAAGTCAGGAGCTTGTAATTAAGTGGTTGTCGTTGGTTGCTGTCCGTCATATTTGTGTTTCGTTTATTGTTTTGTCATCAATCAGGCAAGGTTTTTCGATTCAATTGTTTCACATTTTGTCATGTCCGGCCTTTTAAGCTGATATGATATGGGTTTTGCTCATTGTTGAAGGCCATACAATGACCTATTGATGCTTAAATCTACTTTATTTAGACTCGGTAGATAATTGTCTTAATGACAATCATGCCATATCTCCTTATTATTATTAAATATATCGATTTTCACAACAAGTAAAAATTGATTTGTTTTCAATGTTTATAATGTATAATATATAAGATGATATCGAATACTGCTGAATTGGCAACACTAACGTGAACTGCAACATTTATTGGTTGACATGTTTCGCTGATCAGGACAAGGTATACAGAAATAATAATCACTTATGGGAACTCTTCTAACAGGACATTAATGAGGCGTTGGTTCAGCTGGTTTTAATTCATATAATGATATTATAAAAGATCATTTCGGCCATTTAAAGCTAAGGAAACTTGCTTCCATATTTTTATGGTTTTGAAAGTTTCAATTGGAAACAAATGTATAAATTAAGTTGTGAATATCTACAAAAATATGCATTTTGTCTGGTTAACAAACGCTGTACCATAGATATCATATTAACTGGATTGAAGTGTATCATAAGTTAATATTCTTCCACAGATATGATAGTCAACGAGGGTGAAAGCGTTAATCTTACTTGCGGCGTCGGTAACCTACATGCTAAATGGACTAGATCTGTAAATGATACAAGTGTAATAGTGTCTGAATATGCAAATGGTTTGACGTTGCCAAATCTAGTATTAGATTCTGTTAAATGGTCTGATCAAGGAAGTTACGAATGCAGTTTTACCAATACCGCAGGATTACTGGAAACCAGAATGACAAGACTATTCGTAAATACTTGTAAGTTATATAGATTTCGTTGTTGTAAAATACACTTTCAAACTAACCATGCTAGCGACTTTAAAGTAACCTCAAAAATATTTGTCTCGGAAAAGCAGGACAACTCTAACATGAATATTGTAAAAAAACAATACTATACGTTCACCAGATATACAAACTAAGTAGTGTTCGTCGGTTTTTCGGATATCTCAAGTATCAAATAACATGTACTGCTATTAAGGAAGAAAATAATATAAACAGAGGAAAAACAAAAATAACACTTCCTAAAATTGGTGCGTCTGAAGAGCTTTTTTTGATTAACCTTCATCATGAATGCTCACAAACAAAAATTCGAAAACCATGGATGTATAAATACTAGTTGCTATATGAAAACAAGGGAATATAGTAGTACCCTTATTAGGTCAACTTTGCCTGAGGTAGTAGGAACCATAGTTTCTAAATAATTTTAAATTTATCAACGGAAATTTTTAGAAATTTATATTTTAAATCATGTCACTGGTGAAACATTTACTTCTGGGTTCCAATCCACCAGCAGTGGTATTCACTCAGGACTAGAAAATGAAAAGTAAAATAACCGAATTCCTAGGTAAATTCAAAACGGAAAGTCCTTTATCAAATGGCAAAATCAAATGCTCAAACACATGAAAATGAGACTTTATATATCTACCAGTTGATGCGATATTCCTGACCTAGTGTTTCCGATCATCATTTACTTGACAGAGGATTGCTACTAACAAACAAGCTATTGAACCAAGGGTTCTAATGGTAAAGTTGAAATCATCTATTCAAAAGATTATTGGACGCCATAATGATTTAGTTGATCGTAATGGACTATATTTGTTACATATTACCACGGATACATGTATGTTCCACTTGTAGCCACAATAATTCCTTCAACTATCCTCGATTGTTACATCACCGAATGAGACTTATCACCGAATTTGTACTTATCATGAGAAAAACACAATGGGTGCCACTTGTGGTGCAGGATCTGCTTACTCTCTTAGAGCAATTGAAATCATCCCGGTTTTTGGAGGGGTTCCTGTTGCTCAGTCCTAAGTTTTCTATATAGTGTTTTGTAGACTTGTTCGTCATTTTGTCATTTTTCGTTTTTGCCGTGATTTGTTGGTTTCTTTTCGACTTATATAGATTTTGATTGTCACTTTGGTATTTTCTTGCTCTTTGAAATAAGTGTGGTGCGTTCGAAGAGCTTTCAGAGTTTACCTTCATCATGAAAAACTAAGAAGGACATCGGAATGACTGTTTCGAAAGGCAAACTCAATGGAAAATCTAAGTACAATACAAAACAGAAAAAAATCAAAAAGACAAAGCCCGGTACACGTGTACAATCAGTCACAAACAATGCACAAAATACAAGGAGGTTACTTAAGTGCAATTCAAAACCAGTGATACAAAAAGATTGACCATATAAATACCAGAAATAATTGACGAAAGAGGAAGCAATAGTCGACAATACATGCCGAAGATAAGTACCCGTTCCCTACCAAACATCTTGGTGCTCTGGAAGGTCAGCTCTCAGTTCTACTCGTTACACCCATCGTGTTACTCTATTTTAAATCCGTTGATGAGTCGTATATAGTGGTAAGGCATGATACGATACGGATTGATAAATTAATCTTGTCTAACACAAAATTATTAACCATTAATACAAATATTGGTTTAATATGAAGTAATATATAAGTTGAATTAGTTTTATATTGATGCCATTTATTAAGAAATTGAATACGGTAAATACTTGCTCGACTTTTTACCATCACAGATATGTAGAATAAATAAACCTTAACTTAGGAGATTTAATCTTACGTATATTGATTGAAAATATAACTAGTTCTACACTGAAGAAACAGATCATTTGTGATCAATACAATGCAGTTCCATCGTCAAATTAGGTTTCACTTTTCGACAATCCAGTATTAGTGTCATCGGTCAAATTATACTAAACACGCATAATATATTTGCAGTTTTCAAAAATGTACATGTTGCTATACATATTTTCATTGAATTGAAAATTAAAAAAAAAGAACTTTTAAAATATGCTTTTTATAGCACAATCATTTACTGATAATGCTTAATCATTTGCGATGAAAGACGACAAAATACTCTCATAAAACCATGATAATCGCGACCTGTTTGTTATGAGTTTTGTTAGTCCCATATATTAATTCTACATTTATCAATTGAGGAATTGTGCCTTTATCATGTTTATTCAAACAAAACTATTTGATAATCGTTTTGTCTATTTAAGCAACGAAAATGTGTACTTGCCAATGTGATTACAGAAGAAAACTGGAATATTGGGAGTCGAAAATACAGCGAAATCAATCAATTGAGGAATTGAAAAAAGAGTTAGAGCCAGTCATCCGGCAGATCCAAGATGAATTAAAAGTAAATAAAACTAAGATTTCGTCAACTATTCGCAAACTAACATCGGCTAAAGACGAACGCAGGTCATCTCATACAATTGGTTTTATTGGTGCGTTATTCATCTCTGTCATTTTCGGAACTGTGTTTTTCATGGATCTAGTAATGTTTAGACAGCACATAGACAAAATCAGGAAAATATGTGGTTATAAGAAGAAAAATATTAGAAAAAAACTACCCAGAAAAAGGAATCATGATCAAAAAAACATTTCAAAAGAAGAATAGAAGAATCGATAACTGTAAGAGTTTTGTTCAAATCAAATTTGATAGGCTTTTCAATAATATACATACAGTGTTGTAAATTCATATATGTTTTTCTTGCCACTGTTAGGCTTTCGTTAAAAAGATGAATAAAATATGGTATTCAAAGGTTAATCTTATTTAGCGTGAAAAAAATCCCCACCAAAAACAAAATCTGCTAAAATGTCTTGGGTTTTTTTTAATATTTAAATTTACCATATGAGCTAGTTGAAGATTATTAATATTTTTATATCCCCTTTTACTTTGGTAGTTCTAATTTGATATGGCAATCTCTTTAGTAAAGCTACGTTTTTGAATTACAAAAATCTCCATACAGTTTCTGTAAACTAACTGCGTAACATTTTGCAATGATTTGGTACAAAAGTAATTACAAGTTTGAAATAAATAACTGCACTACCTACAATGACCTATTCACCGATTTTGTATCATCGAGGACAATTTTATAAAGGAAAAAGAAAAAAAAAAATTGCGGGTGCATAAGAAAAATTGTGACAAACAAATTATCATCGGAATAAAACTGTACTCTTAAGATACGCACATTTTAATATTGCTTTTATTGAGGTCACCAAAAAATATCTCGTAAAAACAAAAGACTTGATAATTATTACGGAGTAATCATTCCCTCTAAATACGAATAACGACGATAACAACAGGTTAGAGGTGCTTTCCGTAACATAAGTAAATAATGTTACGACATGTACACTTCCCATCGTTCATATGGCAATGTATTTTGTAATGGCTGTGCATATCATTAGAACTTGTCAATATACGAAGCTAGAAAACTTCAAGAATGAAATACAAGCAAAATAAAATATTATGTAGCAAAGGTGAAAAGATGCTCTATTCAGACATAGATATTAGATGCATATGAAATGAAAACCCGTAAATGTATGTGAAATAATCATGACAACATAGACAAGTAGATGATCAAAAGAAAATAAAATGAAACGTTTATGAATATCGATCCATTCATTTTCCTTTAACCTGGACATGCTTAACACACGTTTTTTTTCCAATCTTATTTGCACAATGTGTGTACTTAAATGTTAAAACTTGGTAGATTTCAGGGAAATGTAGCATAAAAAAGATATTTTCTAAACATTTGTGCATATGGTTAGAGCTTTAAATTGCTTAGGTATCCAAATTTTACTAGATATATCTTTAGAACATCAGTGTAACAATCTTCTAACGCATTTTACCAATAGATAATACAAATACGTCAACATTCATCAACATATAATCTAACTAATTTATACATAGGTGGTATTAAAATTTCTTTTGATCAGTTTGATTATTTCGAAAAAATGCTGAACCTTAATCACCTGTTACCCTATTTAGTGGTGCTTTTTTATTGCACATTTTAGATGCTCCTACAAAAAAAGATGCATCAGATCGACTTCTTCCTTCTTATAAGGAAAGATACGAAATGTCAAAAAATATAGTTTAAACAATTTTTAGAATTTCTTTTTGAACACCTGAAACATGAATATTTCAAGATAGAATTTTCTACCTAAGGCATAACTCTCTTCATATTTTAACTTTTTTTTTCTGACACATAGTGATGTTTGGTGATTGGTATATGTTGTAGAGTTATTTGTGGTATTGTTTTAATGTGAGTTATTTTTATAAATCCCCCAAAAAGCTCACAAAGCTTGTGTTTAATTGTAATATGCTTTTCGAATCAAAATAAATGTTTCTTATTATCATCTTTTGTTTTATGTTTTCTATCTTCATCAACTTAAATATTTTTTATTGCCATGATGCTGTCTTTCTGCTTTGTCGTCATGTTGAAGACCGCATGTTAGCTTCTATATGTCTTTTGATATTGTGTTGGACTTATATGTGACAATTAATTGTATTCATGTTTAAGATAATAAATTTCGCTTGAAACAAAACATGTGTTTATGTTTAATAATAAAAGGGGTTCGCAAGTCAATTCATAAATTGTTCTACCCGTTCAGCATAACAGAACGTTGACTCATGTCCTACACTGATCCATTAGTGTCTCTTAACTCAAAAATTATCATTTGATGTACATTTCGGAACAGTTCTTAGTAACAGAACAAAAATAAAAGATGCTTTTCTATTGGACAAACATCAATTGTTTACGTAAATCTTTTGAAAGGCTGACATGTCGCATGATCAAATTATAAACAATTCAAAATAGGAAACCAACGGTCTGATTATGTTACCAAAATAAAAAAAAAATCCAAAGAAGACAGACAGCAACAAACTACAACCACTGAATTGCAGGATGCTGACTTAGGAGAGGAACATGAAGAAAGTGGTTGGATTGAAAATGTTCGTGAACTCTAAACCCGCGCCCTTGCCTGGGATAGTTGTGTAACAGCATACAATAATCAAAACTATAAAAATCAGTTGGAAAGGTTGACTCATAAGAAGAAAAAAAAAATAAAAATAACATGCAAACAATAAGTGAAAAAATGCCCCCCAAAACAATAAAAACAAACACAAGAAACCTTTGGTTACTTCGAACTAATTCAAGGCTAATTCTTACTAATAAATTCACATTGCATGTCCAAGTGTAATCTTTGAAAGTTAAATGACTAAAAAAGAATTTGTAATTACCAAAAACTGATTAACTTGCATCAAAATTTATTCATCATAAAAACAGTATTGTACCACATCACGAAGCGGAAAGGGGTTATTGAAATGGTAATGTTTGTATTGGACAAATGCGAAACTCAGGACTGTAAGGTCTCTCACAGATACAGTTCTCATCAGATTTCTTTTAAAAATATATGTCGAGGTTTACGTAGAAATTTTCTAGGACTAGTTCGAATTCCAGTGCTGATCGATTATTTTTTGGTACGTTATGGCCCTTAGAAATATCAACAATAAGGAAATTGGCATTGAAAGTACTCTCACACCTATAGTTATCATGTTTCAATATTTATATAAAAGTTTACATTGCAAGTACAAAAATCAGTGCCGATTGTGTTTGATTTTTTGGGGCGAGTCAATGTTTCCCATTGAAGTTTAATTCAATGTCGGTCAAGCTTAACATCGGCCAAATCTCTGACGAGTTAGAAAATCTGAGTTGGTGGAATATTTTTGGGATGTTATATCACGCTCTTAAAATGAAATAATACGGAAAAATCAACATTTCTTATGACAGGGTTCATCTGAACTTCACCTCGTTTCCATGTTTCTTTTGTCAATATTACGTTCTCTCAATTAGGTTAGTTAGGTCAACTACCAATTGAGATTTATTTCATTAAAAATGATTTTTTGGCAAACATGGCGGTACTTTAGAAAGCGGCATAACTCTTTGACTTTATGTTGGAGAAATGTTTAATACAAAGTTAATTCCTTCCCCTGTTGTTATCTGATTTCAGAAGGCGTTACATCTGCAGATTGAAAGTGGCAGGAAAAGTTGGGAACTGAAATTATATTATAATCTGTGTAATTTGTGTTTAAATAGTACGATTAAATTGTGGATCTAGAAGAAAAGGATTGTATTCTGTGAATAATTAGATAATTGTAATATGTAATTTGACATTGATAATTTATATGGCCGTAATTTGCCGTAATTTACATCTATGTGCTTGAAATTTCCAGAGGTTAAAGAACATTATAGGTTTTTAACAAAGTTTTTCCTGTAGTACTTTTTTATTGATCCGTTACAAAATGAGTACAATAAAAGATGTCCTGCAAATATTGTGTCTAGTGAGTGGTTTTGGATCAGCTTAAGCGCCGGAAATTTAAAAATTCATAGTTTATTTAGAGAGAATTTCATTTCACGATGATAGTAACTGTAGTTGGTAGATCACTGAAAAAAAGAAGGGACGAAAAATCTGGATCGCAATAACTATGTTGATGGTGTTCACTTCAACTATGATGTTGGCATACCAAAATAGTTTGGAAACATAAGAGGGGCAATTATTCAAGCTATGGAATGGAAGATAGTTTATCGCAGTTCAGTATTGGACAGATTTTAATTTATGTATTTGCTAAAATTTAAAGCTATTAGGCCTTGGTAAAATATCTGAAATTTATTAATTCGATAAAGAATGGAAGTCAATTACATTTACATTGTTCAATTTATTTCAAAATTGGGGGTATAACCTGAGTATCATATGCCACACATAGTTTATGTAACTATGGTATATAGTATCAGGATGCTTTGTTCAGATATTAATTATGTCAAAATCAAGGTTCTTATAACCTGAGTATGGTATGCCAACACAGTTCTGTTAACTATGGTATATTATAACAGGATGCTTTTTTCACGGGGCTTTATAGTTACTGCATGGTTTATAAAACGCCATTTCTTATTTAAATATGTTTTATGTACAATTTCATATATACTTTACTATAACTACGTTTGTAAAAGCAGAAACACGTCGCATGTCAACATTCCCAATTGTTTTATGTTCCTTGGATACTTTCTCACACGCAAAGTATTATTAACCACAAGACCACACAACTATAGGGACAGAATATAAACAAACAAAGTCATAAACTAAACGGCTTGTAATTAAAAGTGATAAGAGTTAAAACACAGCTGCATCATACATTAATTTTAGCGGTCTTTCAGGAAGTACACCACTAATTCATGGCCCCATTGCTTTCTATTTTAAATTCCTCAATTTCAAGCAGACACAGCTCTTTTGTTTCAAGTTCAAATAAAGTGACAATCATTGCATGTCAAAGCAACACTTTATGGTTTCTTGTACTGGAAAAATCAACATACCTTTAATGGCATATAATAAAGAACTGGTTCCCGGAACTTCGGATATACCAAAACAGGTACTTCAGATCTGACATACAGGCAAAAAGTACCCTCTTTATAAAATTTGGTGCAGTTTTTTTAATATTCAAAATTATAAGTCAAAAAGTGTTCTTCAATGATCACCAGTCATTCAGCTTTCATGTGATACCAACAATACCTAAATATTCTACATATTTTGAAAGTTACACTCATGCGTAAGAACTATTTTGTGTTAAATATGTACTACTTTCTGGTATGTGCTTTCTGGCCGGGCCGAATTAGTGGTGTTACACCTATAACAGAACCAAACTTTCTATACTGACTTCAGCATCACTTTATTTCATTCTATGATCTATTTCAAGCAATAAAAACACATAAAGGTTAAGTCCAAATACTATTTTACTAATTTTAAGCTCAAATTGGACTGGTAGTAACATATAGGTTATTCAAAGAAAACTGCATATGGATATTATAAATAGCCAATATACTTATTTTATTCTCAATATCATTGTTGTATTTAATAATTTCTGTTAGTAAAAACAATGTGCTTACCAAAGTCATATTTCACCAGAGTTTGTTCATTTAATAAAAATATATTAGACCAAACCTAAGACATAATTGAGAAAATTGTCCCCCCTTTTTTTCTTCAAATTGGAAAAGGGACATTTTTGGTATAAACCATACTTCTGTGATACAACATAGATTATAAAGAGCAATTTATATATTTTTCAGCTGGATAACTTGCTAAACTGGTTCAAAATTGCATGTACAGTGAGATTTTGGAATTCTTATATGAGTATATACCAATTGCCTAGATTGTAAAAGGCTATCATAAGAAAACCAATAAAACTTGAAAAATCATAGGATTATTTGACCAAGAGCTATTTTTTTACCATAAACAAGTCATTATATACATGTTTTATTGATTGCAATTCCAAATAATGCAAAAATAAAAATTTGGAGTCAAGTCTTAACTGCATGCATGTTGTGTGACCATAAAAGGCTAAAATACCTGATTATGTCAATTTAAGAGCTGAAATTTCCAATAAACAGAATTGTTCATCCAAAAAAGATGATTAAACATGTTTACTTACATCAAATATGACTTATTTTCATTGGAATAGGTACAACTTCTAAAAATTGAATTTCTGATGATTCTCTGTAATAGGAAGTACTCCACTAATTCATGGCCCCATTGCTTTCGATGTTAAATTCCTCAATTTCAAGCAGACACAGCTCTTTTGTTTCAAGTTCAAATAAAGTGACAATCATTGCATGTCAAAGCAACACTTAATGGTGTCTTGTACTGGAAAAATCAACATACCTTTAATGGCATATAAGAAAGAACTGGTTCCCGGAACTTCGGATGTACCAAAACAGGTACTTCAGATCTGACATACAGGCAAAAAGTACCCTCTTTATAAAATTTGGTGCAGTTTTTTTAATATTCAAAATTATAAGTCAAAAAGTGTTCTACAATGATCACCAGTCATTCAGCTTTCATTTGATACCAACAACACCTAAATATTCTACATATTGTGAAAGTTACACTCATGCGTAAGAACTATTTTGTGTTAAATATGTAATACTTTCTGGTATGTGCTTTCTGGCCGGGCCGAATTAGTGGTGTTACACCTATAAGACAATCTGCTAGGATGCATGAAAACAATTAATATAGAATGATTTAACAACCCTGACCATAACATATTATTGTAGTCAATTAAATATTGATTACAGAACTGAGATAAGAAATAATTTACAAAGTTTAGCTCTATGACACTTTTTGTTTTGTTTTATTGTAATTGTAACACTATACATGTAGTCACTGTTTCAACACTAAGGTCAGACATTGTAAACATTATTCACATACGTGTATTTAAAAAAAAAACAAAAAAAAACCGGATTTCAACATGTTCAAAGTTTGAAAGGTAAACAAATATGCATTAAATGAATTTTAGGTATGTATGGTAATC